GACGCAATTTCTAGCTGTGACTCAGCAACTCCGGATTTTAAGTTTTCGCCTTTCACTTGACTGAAAACGGTTAGGAATTCCCCAGGTAAGTTTCTGAATATGTTTCTAGGGGAGTCTGCAAATGTGAATTCCATGTGCTGTAATACTTACTGTACTCGAACTTTAAGGTCAAGACTTGAATTGTTGTCTATGTATCATGTAGAACAGTGAAACGGTTTGTCACCGAAATGGATGGGAGAAATTGTAGTTCAAATAACCATTAAAATTAACCAGAGTTCACAAACTACGGGGACTTATACTGTTCAATTCATTTGGAAAGATGGTTTCTATTCATCTCTGTATAGCGCTGATTCACTCGCTCATACGTTCGCTTAGACAACTTGATGTTCTCTTAATTATGACTTGTTCTTAGACTAATTCAATTGCTTTTATGCTTTTCATATTCAGCTCTCGGGCATCTTCTGCTTCACGTAATGCCTTGGTTCGTTCCGGTGGGGCCAAATCCCGTTCAAAAGGTCAGACCCTAAGTTTCACACTGTTCCCCATTTTCTCGGCGGCGTAACCCGCAATAATCTGCCCATTACTACACGTTTTTTTACTTCCAGTCTGAGAAAATGCGGTACACGCTGAATGTCATGGGTTTACCTTTGCGTTGCAGTGATTATAGCTAATGGTCGCAGTTTGGTTAGGCGGAACTCTGAACGAGAGAATCAAAAATTGTTTCCATGTTGGATAACGGTTCGCGGTGAGAATAGTATTTACAGCACAGAATATATAGATTTAGGCCAAAGTACGACACGTACAGTTTTCTGTACTGTGTTGTTCCGTTTTTATCCATTCTGTTCTATTTTTTAAACAGAGGCCAAAAGTTGAAAATGCACTTCTTAAAAATTTACTTCAAGCCTCAAGTGATTCTTTTTTTTCCTTTCGCAGTAAATCACCATCGTGTGACCGAAAACTTTTGAATCACCGAGAAAAACATCGTAATTTTGATTTGTACGCTAGAACCCCTCGTCCCCGTTCACTTTTGAAGGTTAGAGTTTATCTTCAAGGTTTCTCGTGTAGAACGTTTTAGGGTCTCACTGAAGTGCTCCTCAAGGTCAATGGTAAATAGTACTTCTGCTCTTTATGATTCTGGCACAAATTAAAAAGGCGAAGAGGACTAAAGTAGTTGGTGTTCCGACTGAACGTTGTTTTTCAATTTACGAGTAGGAGCACGTGTAATATTTTTGAACACGTCAGTTTTTGCGGAGTGTAATTAAAGTGTATGTGTGTGATGATTTGATCTTGGAGCTTAAACTGCATTCCTCATGCTTTCTTGGTAATACNGGGGGGGGGGGGGAGTGAGTGAAAGTTTCGCTATGGTTTCTGCATTGACACCAGTTCGAGTCTCTGTAGAAACAGGGCACGTATTTGATGGACTGTGGCTGTAGTTTGAGACATACCAAGTTCGATGATGTCCTCAAAATAAAGAAGCGGTCCTGCTCACAATAGGAGTTTGTCTATACCGGGAAACTTCTATTCAGTCCGAATCTTGGATACTTGTGCATCCCATTAAATCATAAATCATCCTGCAACATTTGATTTACGAATTAAGGAGTTAATCACGTCTCTACTCATTAGTAGTAAGAATATAATTAGTGAATTATATCGCTGAACAACGCATGCAACCCACATCGAGTTGCGTAGGTCCTAACCAGAACGGAAGATTCAATACATCTTTTGATGAGGCTTTTTTTACCTAATATATTCTTCTAATTGCATGTGTGCTATTGGTTTCCTCCAATTTTTTGGAAGTTATCACTGTTTCTGTCTAATGCGCACAGGTTCCTGGGTGGTTATTGACTTTTTTTATGATTGTCTTCCGTCAGGTTCAAACAAATTTTCCACCACTCCGAAAGCACGTGATCTGCATTTTGTTCCCGCCTCGTCACTCATTGACGGTGGTCTCCGACCCGGCATGGACCCATCCCAGTTGGTCTACCGTGCTGTAATTGCACCAACCGCGGATTCAGATCGGCCGCAGTTGGTCTCGCAAACTAAACTGTGCGGTCTCATCTTGGTCCGTTGTCAGTTCACGGCTTACGCCTTATCTCGTCTAATTGATGAGCTATGCATTTGGGATGTAGACTTGTTCTTCATCAAACCGGGTCATTTGTTCTCTCAGCAAACCTCAGACACCGCCTCGCGCACTCGTCCTGGTTGCGCAACAAACCAGTCCATGTTGAAGACAGGTGATGAAACAATGACTGGTAAATTCTCCGTTCACTTTTGTACATTCTACTTGTCTGAACTCATTTTTTGTCTGATGTTCACTTCTGGTAAACTATCTTTGCTTGTTATGGCAGAAATTAGTGTAAGCAAGCAATATTTTCGTCAAAGAAATAACGTAGTTAATGAAACTCACCACAACCACCACCACCACTCGTTTTCATTACTCCCTAATTGAATGCGCATTGACATATGTTCCTTTAGTGGGTTGGTTTGGTGCGAAAAAGCATCATAAAATGTACACATTCATTCATTATCTCTTAGTTATCTTCAGTATTTGTTGAGTTTGATCCAGGAAGCAGCCTGATTCTCACATCGACCATATTGCTATCTGCCTGCGGGATGAGTGATGAGTGGTATGCTATCAAGTGAAACTCAAAAACGAAAGCTTCTTCTGTACAGAAAATTCTGCTGTACACAGTGGTTTGTCTGAGAAAATAAAACAACTATTGGTTATTCAAAAGATATTGATGAAGGCCCTTACTGTAAACTACTTCACTATTCGTTCTTCAGAGTCAGACTGAATCTAGTTCTGTTCAAATGTCCGTGGATCTAACGTGATCGTATTTCGATCCTGTCATGGCAGGAGCAACGCATTCGAAAGATAACTGGAACGAATAAAAAGTCATGTCTTGTGATGATCAACAGAACGCGATCGGTTGATATAATAAACAATACATGAGTTTTTGAAAACAGAGGAAAAACTGAGGGATAAATACAGAAAAATGGAAGCTAAACGTTGCAGATCTTATTCGTCAATGGAATTAACACATGCTATGGGAAATAATGTGGAATGATTGTAGACCGGTATGTAGACATTGGTGTGTTTTCCTAGCTGGAAGTGTTGTTCGTCAACGATTTTGTAGCCAGGCTAGGCAACATTAACAGTACAATGTTGCCTAGTTTGGCTACGAAGTGTCTTCAAACAGCAATTCCAGCTCGGAGAACACTGCAACGTGAACGTACTATCGGGTAATCGTGCGGGTCGTTCCCACAATTGTGTACGAATAATGACAAACCCAGGAAGTGAGCTGAGACTGGTCCTTCAATCATGGCATTCACCGTAATCAAAGTACAAAGAAGTGACTGCCCGGTTAGTCACTGCAGACCGGGCTTTACAGAATGGTTGTTGACATTTGAGTGAAAAGAGCACAATAGCGACCAAACGAGTACAGACTAACTAGCCGTCGAATGGTTTATTTATCACTATTTGTAAGAGGGCAGGACAAGGTGATATTTATTATTGAAGGTGTGACATTTAGAGAGTAATTTGTGTGCTGTCCGAACACTATTTACGAGCTAATGAAGTGGTTAAGGCAGCTTGTGATTTAGGGAAACAGAGCCCAACCGGCCATATGAATGATATGTGCGGGTACGTTGTACAAACGTTCTGTTTAGTGTTTCGTTATTCGGACGGTCTTCATTAAACCTCGAGTGTTGTGTGTATGTGTTTACGCGTGTAATTAATTTTAGCTGCTTATTTTCTGCCTACTAGAAGAAAGAAACTTTCAAAATTTACCTGCTCTACCAATTTCTCGTATTCTCTGTAGCAACACAAGTCAGTAATTCAGGGATCTCCAGTTTTCCGGCTACTCAGGAAGAAACGGTTTCCAAATTTCGTCGCGGTTCAATCAATTTGCTCGTGGCCACTCAACCGGCAGTAGCCGCTGCTGCAGGTGGTACCGAATTGCCCCGGTGTAATCTGGTGGTCGCGTTGCAACCCCCGCGCAGCTTGGCTGAATATCTATCCAGCAAAGCCCGATCTCGCCTGGTCGATCATGGAGCACAGGTTATATACTTGGTAGATGCCGATCGAATGGACCCATCGGACAATGTGTCTGTCTTGGCCAGTACACCGAATGGGCTGACTTATTCTACAAACGATGCAACTAAACTGGACGAGGAAGAACCGAAGCAGAACCAAGTGCTAGAACGGTTCGTTTTCTAAAAATCTCTTCCACATTAAACTGCCTCCCTGTTTTAAATTCATACCGATCGGACGTTTTACTTAAGGATATTTTCTCGGTTGCTTTCGGATTTCTCAATTGGTCTTCTTTTCCCTCCCCTCGGTGTGTGTGTGTGTGTGGAATCAGGACGTGTATATAGAACAACGCTTTTCCCTACTCACGATCCAACGTTAGTTAGTCCTTTTCGTTCTGGTGTTGCGTACACTTCGTTATCAATAACTCTAGACAGCTGCTTCTCACATAAAACTGTTTCGATATATTCGATTTTATAAATTATCGAACAATATCAGAATCTCCAATTTGAAGTTTTATCAAGATCGTACTGAGTATTGTACGTATGTACTCTTCATGTGAAACACATTAATTTTGACTATTTTCCTTGCCTGGTTTCACAGCGGAACCTGTTCATTTTAGGATTTCGGTATCCACCTTTGCCCATGTTGTGCCATCTGTTCATAATTCGATTCTCATCATTTAGTTTATCGCTCCCACAGTCAAGTGATATAATACAAAATACCGTTTCTGACTTTTATAGAAGAAACGATGCTTAACATGAGTGAACAGTTGGGGCACACACGTCTCCCCCCCCCCCTAACTCGTCCTATTGTTATTATCATCATTGTTATTATTGGTGCCATGAATTCTTGCTGTGTTAGACCATTTAAATGCCTTGTTTCCTTTGTGACTTCTCAAACTTACCTATATTTCATAATGTGACCTGGTTGTGAATTTAGAGATTACGCTTTTATTATCATACCTACCTGAGATGTCCTTTGACTTGGTGGAACAATAATCAGAGATTGAGTGTTAGCTATTCACTTTGTGCGTGAAAGCTGCGGTGTATAAAAAGTGAGGTGTGAAACTATCAGAACTGTTCGTGTCCTCGTAAGCAGGTTTGCTGTCGTCCGGTTNGGTTCAATACCATGCACAAACTAACGGGGCCTTATGTGGTTCGACACTCTAAGGCTCGGAGGCGTAGATTGTTGGTTACCATCATTAAACGGTAGGTCCTCGTGACCGTCTGCTGTTCCGCTGCTCTGCAGGTAGAGCGTACGTGTTACCAAGGCATACATCCATCCCATTCATGTGTTGGTTCAGATCCCATTAATGATTTTGGGTCTTTCATGTCATCTTAGTACATGCACACAAGTGGATGAGATCACCACATAATGGTTGAATTTAGCACATCCATCGCGATGCTTTTTATTCTCATAAAGATTTCAAAGAAAGCTGGTTGCATGAAACCGTTTTGAACTTTTGTTTATTGCTCAGTTGATATTAGGCATTTAACTAAATACTAGGGGCTTGTTTTTCAGCGGCTGGTTTAATGTTAAAATATATCTTTGGTATCATCGCTATCATATTATTCGCATCTTTCCTAGCAATAAATAGTAGTTTGGGTTTTGTTTTAATGCATCATTT